TTTCAATAGTGTTTTCATTGCACTATTGCACTAGTAGGTCTTTTTTACGAAAGATGGCTCCGCGAAAGAAGTATTCTTGTAAATTTCCCGAATGTGGTAATAGTTACTATGCAAAAGTCGCAAATGGCGTTAATAAACATTTTTATAAATTTCTAAAAAATCACGATATTTGTATGAAATGGAAAATGATTTGTGGCATTGACATTTCCGTCAACTGTCAGAGCATGCGTGTTTGCGAGGATCATTTCCGACCAGTAGATTTCGTCAACTTTACAAAGCATTTGTTGAATCCGAACACGGTACCGAGAAAAATTGAAGAACTGGATGATTTAATTCCCGTACAAATTTCGCCTCCTTTACCATCCGATGAAACTGATGATTTGAATTATTGTCGCCCGTTAAGTGATGCCAATGTATCTATCGTTTGTACAGATTCGTTCAACAACGTAAGTACTGACACTGTCTGTGAAGAAAAGTCTCCTCATTCATATGACACTAATACTTTTGATGATATTGCTGTCAATAATAATAGCAAAAATAATAATTGTTTGGTGGACAATTTAAATAATGAGAAAGAAAGTGAAGAGGTAGTAATGTGTATATGCGATGAGGAAACTTGCAATTCTGTTAACAAAGAGAATCATTGTCCAGATAAGATTTGTTCACACGAATTAAGTTCACGATCAAAGACAGAGGTTTCTTCACAAAAAGAGTCAGAACGATACAAACGCATGTACGCAAACGTCGTATTTCAGTGAAACTATCTAAAATGAAAAAAAAAATGGCAGATACGAAGAACGCATTAGCAGATTTGAAAAAGAAATATGACAATAATTTTTTCGATTGCATTAACGCAAAATTAAACGACGTTACTAAAGCATTCATTAATTTTCAATTAGTGAATGCTTCACGCAGTAACTCCGGAAAAAGATGGACAGAACAGGATAAAGCGTTTGCTTTGTCTATGTATAAACGTGGTCCTCGTCTTTATAAGTTTATGCGTGAACACTTCAAGCTGCCATCTCCACGTAGCCTGCAGCGCGTTTTATCTAAAATTCCATTCGAACCAGGAATAAACAAAGCCCTTTTAGAACAGTTAAAAGTTAAAATAAACGAAATGGACGAACGATATGGAATAGATATGCTTCATTAATTTTTGACGAGATATCTTTAAGCAAAGGTTTTTATTATGAAGCTCATAAACAAATTATTAGTGGCTACGAAGACTTAGGTGAGTTAGGCCAAACTGCGAAAGCAGCTAATCATGCACTTGTTTTTATGATCCGCGGTATACAGAAATCGTGGAAGCAAGTGATAGCTTACTATTTTACGACAGATACAATATCCTGTGGTAATCTTAAATTTCTGTTAAA